CTTAGTGGAGTGCGTTGGCAACATAAATTTTGCGAAATACGTCGAAATATTGGAGGAAGGATAAGAACACAACGTTGTTCCAGGAAGGTGGAGCACCGTGTCACACTGCTAGAAACACCCAAAAGTGGCAGGAAGAAAATGGTATCGAGAAGTTGCTCTGGCCGAACCCATCTCCTGACATGAACCCCATCGAAAACCTCTGGGCCATACTCGACCGGCAAGTCAAGAAACAACAAAAAAAACCAACTTCGAAGAGCGATCTACTCCAAGTTTTGAAGCAAAAGTGGGCGAAAATCGAGATGATTCTCACGATGCCCCAAAGGATCAACGAACTACACGAAGCGAAAGGAAGATCTACTAGATATTAATTAGATTCTAAATATATCAATTCAGGTGAATATGACTGACAAATTTCATTTTTTCAGAAAAGGTGGTGTCTATTTACTTGTGAACACGCTGTATATATCTTACGTAATGACTATACATTTTTATGTATTTTCAAGCTGGGCTATTAAAAGCAGTAGAATATCAGGGCAGTCATGTATTGCAATTGAAAATAGTATTAATTTATTCCAGTACAGTGGACCTTTTGGAGGTGGTGAGTAAAGTTGAGATAAGATGCAAAGTTAATCTTTCCTCAACTAAAATAAAATTCCACGAGCCACTTGAAACTGGTGGCCGATAGATAGGCAAATAAATTATATAATACTAGTGTTTTTACTAATAGGCAAAACGAGTCACAAATTGTACTTGACGGACTTGAGGCTATGTGTAGAATCTCAGAAACAATGTATGCTAAAACTCAACATCTACTAACTTCTAACAATGAAATTTAGCTGTGGTCGTAAGTGATGTGTAAAGTCATTTACACATACACAAAAAATGGAAAAAAACATATTTACGATTTTCTCATCACTACTGGTAAAAAATACGATAACTCGATTACTAATTAAAATTAAGTAGTTAACACTTAATAATCCCAAAAATAATCACGATTCATCAAAATCTTTGAATTTAAGTGAAGTTGTGCAAAGTAACATTGCAATAATAACAAATGAATATAAACAGGAAATACGATTAGAATACTCATATGACTTTTAAACTGCACTTACTAATTTTTAACAGAAGGGTTTAAAAACATTGTTTCCTAGATGTCAATATGTTTTCCATAAAGAGCTGAAGTCAATAATAACTAATAATCGTGACGTAATCTTCCAACTGTCGTTTATTAATTATAATAAACATATTGTCAACACAGGCGAAACTTAAGATATTGTTAAAATAAAAAGTTAGATCTAGGAGAACAATTCATTACTGGCAGTATGGCTGTATTAATTATCTTAAACATTTGAAAAACTAGTCTATTACATGGTGATTCTCAAGAAATCCTTTAACCAGCTCAGATTCTTAAATAACGTGATGAAACAATTACTATACTTTTTAACAGAAGTAGGAAAATATGACCTTATTAAAATGAAAAAGATTTCTACTCTGACCGAGAGAGGATAACTAAATAAAAATATATTTAACTCTTGCGAAGAAACGAGGATAATGAATAGAATTATTTAAATTTAACCAGGACAAGAGGATATGCAAAGAAAAAATCTTAAATTCCAACTGGAGCACGAGAATAAGCAAATAGAAAGATTTAGAACTGATCACGACACGACGATAATTAAACATAAAGATTTAGATCTGACCATGACACGACGATACTTAAACAAAGATTTAGATCTGATCACAACACGACGATAATTAAACAGAAAAATGTAGATCTGATGACGACACGACGATAATAAGATAGAAATACTTTGATCTGACTATGACTCGACAATAAGTAATGAAGATATTTTGATACAACTGGAAAAAGAGGATAAGTAAGGAAAAAATGTTTCTACTCTGACCGAGACGCGAATATAAGTAAATAAAAAGATTTAGATCTGACTATGAGACGAAGATAATCAAGAAAAAAAAGGCTTTACCTCTGACCGAGACACAAGGATGTTTATCACTTTGTCATCATTCGTTGTTGTACCTTGTAAGCATCCTCGAAGTTCTTTAGCAAAGTGTTGCGATGGGTCTTCGACAAGTTTTGCTAAAAAAGTGATGTAATTACCAGTTAGTTGGCTACATTTCAAATATTGAACAAATTGTCGTATTTTGCGTAAGAAAACTTTCAGTTTGTGGGTCTTTATTTTTTCCTTTTTTTGTTCTTGTTCGGGTTCAGGAATATGTGTAAATTCTCGTAGTATATATTTAGTAGGAGTAGTTATTAAAACAATATTTATAATAATATTGTTACATTATGAAACACACTATAGTTTTATATTACGAGATGTTTTAAGGAATCATATAACTCTTCCCTTTTCGTCAAATATCATAGAATAGATTGGTTTGTTTTTTTTAATTTCGCGCATATCTATTAGAGGGCTATCTGCGCTAGCCGTTCCTAATTTGGAAGTGATTGACCTGAAGGAAGGCAGCTAGCTAGTCAACGCAACCCATTGCCAACTCTTGGGTTACTCTTTACCAACGAATAGTGAGAAGGGCCGTCACATTATAACGCCCCTACGACCAAAAGAGTGAACATGTTCGTTGACGGGATTCGAGCAAGTGACCTACAGATTGCGAGTCAAGTGCCTTACCACCAGGTCACTCATAGAATATAAACAAAAGATAAGTCAACATTTCTATCGTTCTGTTATGATGTATGCTTGACAACTGTCATAACATTTACTTAGAAGTGTTGTATGTTGTAGAGAAGTTTTACACATTTCCCACATATACATATATTCCATAAAGGGTTAACGACCAACTAGAGAATACACAGAATTACCTGTGGTCTTTGAGGAAAGATTTGATGGTCAAATGAGGCTAAGTAGCTAGCCTGTCCAAATTGTTAATCATAGGGTTAATGGTTTGCGTCTCATTGATGAAAACCGTGTTCTGAACATTGGAGCAGGGGGTGTGTTATAAGAGTAATGATCAAATCCCAACATTCGATCAGGCAAGAGTACCAGAATAATTGGCGATGGGCACTGTTGACTAGCTACTTTCCTCCTATCAGTTAACAATTAAGGATGGCTATGCATAAATAACTTTGTGGCAAATTTTGAAACGAAGAGAAACTGATTACAACTAAGTCACACTTTCGGTCCATGTGGTACTGAGTGATCCCGGTTTCTTTCTCTGACTTCTTAAGATCTACTAAAAACGTAAGGGCTTTTTGATCACATTTTCTGATGAAACAATCCTGTGTTTAAGACAAAAATGATTCAGATGTTGTTTGGGGAAGTTTTTCGTTATCCGTGTTAAACGAAAGCTAATATCCCACTATTAGGAATAGTAAAGTGATAAAAGAAAGACAATGATACGTTCTGTGATATCATTTAAGACACTGATTATATCTAATAAAAACATGTCATTTATACCTTTTTATTTCCTTTAAAATTCGCCCCCCCACAGTGGCTCAACGGTATGTTTATGGACTTACAACGCTAGAAACCGGGTTTCGATACCCGTGGTGGGTAGCACAGATAGCCCATTGTGTAGCTTTGTGCTTAACTACAAACAAAAATTTAAAATTCACATCAGAACTTGATTATGTAAATTCTGCTCATTTGTCCAGTAACTAATTATATGATGTGGTAACTATCAAGCTTTCAGTCTTTTAAATTGTTTTGAGTCTGTATAGGTTGAAATTGTGATAAAACATACATGCTTTTACGAGACACAAATATACTGTGAAACTTATTCCTATCTGTGCCTTTTGTAGAATCTCTGTGGATAAACTCAGAAGAATGTTTAGTGTAAAATTTCCTAGTTCTTAATTCCTTAAAAGCTAACATACTTATATACGTCTATATGGTAATCTAATTTTGAAGAGGTAGTTAACAAAGTTTTATTGACTTTCTTAAATAACTTCTGCTGTTATGGAGAGCGCTGGTCAAGAAATCAACGCTTGCTACTAAGTAGTTTGTTACTTAGTTACGTAACCACCACTTACCACTATGTAGCTTGTTACCCACTCAAGTAACTACCGCCTGTCTTTAAGTAGTTTGTCACTTAGTTAAGTAACCACCACCTACCACTATGTAGCTTGTTACCCACTCAAGTAACTACCACTTGTCTCTAAGTAGTTTGTCACTTAGTTAAGTAACCACCACCTACCACTATGTAGCTTGTCACCCACTCAAGTAACTACCACCTGTCTCTAAGTAGTTTGTCACTTAGTTAAGTAACCACCACCTACCACCATGTAGCTTGTCACCAACCATTTTCACGTTCTCTGTCAGTTATGGTTTTCTTAAATTCTAAGAAAATACAAGAACTTTAAGACAATGACTCTAAAGAAGAGAGTAAAGCCTATATCTACTCATTATAAAGTATAACTATATTTCTGTACTTAAATAGAAACCACTGTCTCAGATTTTCCATCCATGATTACTTGAGCTTAATTTCCAACAAACTCTACAACAAATTGCTCCAGTCAGGAAAGGTGATATAGTTTAAAGTCTATTAAGTTCAAAGTTGTACAATGGGTTATTTATACTATGCTCATCAAAATGGATTAAACCCTAGATTTTAGTATAATAAGTCCTTAAGCTTACTGCTGAGCCACTGAGGGTCAAATGGTACAGTAAAACGAGATTCAGGGAGTCATTTCTGCTCACATTCCAATAATAAATACTTCAATATTTTTCATTATGACGTGGCACTAAGTCTTGACATTAATTTTGTCCTGATCGTGGCCTAGTGATTAGCCTATCAGACTTGGAATCCAAAGGTCATACTTTCAGCTGTGGTGGTGTTTTAACAGTGATAGTCAATCATGCTATTAATTTATGAATAGCAGGTTCAGGTGGCAGGTGTTACAAATTGGCTGCCTTCTCTCTGGTCCACAGTTCAAAATTAGGGACGGATATACCTGAATCATAGAGAACCTCTGACCTGGCCGTTTTACTCACTCGTACATTAACAAACAATCATTAATTTTAGTAGTAAGAGTTTGTAAGAGATTGGGCAATCCATTTTGTGTGTGTAACAATATCAGCACGATTATAAGTTTTCCAAAAGTTGTCTAGGTTGTTTAGCACAACGTTAAGACATGTAAATCCATATTCACTTTTTATTATCATCATAATTTTCACGAAAGTTTATATATTACATGTTTGCTATTAATAGTGTAAATTTCTGTTTATATATTTAACAACGGTTGGCATTCCTTATAACTACGGTCAGCCATTTCAGAATTTTGTGCTCCAGAACTTTCTGGCTCATATTATGCAGCCTATAATCGGCTCAGCTGCATATTAACTTTCGTCATTAAAATATTAAGATTGGAAACGTGATGAATTAAAACATTAAGACAGTTATAAACAGAGTTTATTGATAAACTCCAAATGATCGGTTACAGCGAAACTTTATGCATGTTTATAGGTTTTGATTAAAACTGTTGTCAGACACAAAACGTTACTAAGAACAATGATGTTGCTAGACAGGTTGTGCGCTAAGATCGATGGACTCTTTAGTCTGAAAATTTACTTTTTGAATCAGCCATTGAATTCTATCTCTTGAAAATAAACCTACTGATCCGATATCTAAAGCTATTTAACTGCCTATTTTGAAGAGTTATTTTTAATTGACAGGAAATGGTTGTTTAACTCTATTTTGTTCTAAGTTTTTTTAAAAGTCGTGACCAGTGTTCTAAGTGTATTATATATATATACATAATTCGATAAATATTTAGGTATTCGTACAATTAAAGAAAACCTTGAAGTAATTGAAAATGTTTAATTCAACACGATTTTTATGTGATTAAAATTTAACCACACCAATTTATTATAAGGGAATTTAACCACATCAATTTATTACAAGCTTACATAACATTTTTATTAAGGGCTGATTTCCAACCCTCTGTAATCGTTAAATGTATATCATTTTATACCTCACTTGCAGTACTATAATTTCAACTTCTAACTGCAGTATTATACACTAAAAACAGATATTGAGCTGAGCTTTAGTTGAAGCATTACTGGATTTGATTGGTGCTTATTTATTCTTGTGATGGATCACTGTAAATTAGTTTGAAGTAATTTAATAGCATCTATCCACAGCTTAACGAAGTTTTTAAATAAATATTTATCATAAACCAACATCTTTGACTGTATGTCTCGTTTTGATAGTTCTGTATCCTGTAATACTTAGAGTCAATTTTAGTTCAAATTCAGACTAATTGAGCTTACACAGTTACAGTAGGTTACATGGGTCAAAATTAAATGTTAAAAATGGTTTGAAATCAAGTTAACTGAATCCTTCTTTCATTAATTATATAATCCTTGAGTATCTATGCTAAAGCTGCAACTCCTC